TATATATATAAATGGCATTATGCCACACAGTAAGTTAACAAGATAATGTTCTAATAGCCATAGACCATCTATTATAAAACCCAGTGCTAGACCGGTGTGGTGATACATGCCTTTAATCTCAACTCTCAAGAGGTAAGGGCAAGTGGATCTCTGTGACTTTGAGGTTAGCCTGGTCTACATAGTGAATTCCAGGCCAGCCAGTGTTACAGAGTAAGACCTTGACTCAACAAACAAACAAAAGTAAAGAAACAAAAACCCCTCAAGTATTGGGAAAGGAAAACACTTCTTCAAGTTGTTGGTCATAAGCATCCAAGTGACTCCCAAAGAATATAAGCTATTGGAATTGCCTTTGGGTGCTTCCCAGAACTTGATGGTAGGACCATATTGTTGAAGACATCACACACTTCAGAGACAGAGCTTGAAGTATTTGAGTTGTAACTGAAGTGGAAGCTTCCTCCCTGACAACTAGCCCTCAGTAATATCAGAAGGTGCTATGCAAGCTGGCAAAGGAGAATCAATAGCTCTACCCAGCTGCAAAGCCTGTGAACCATGACAATGGCCAGCCCAGCACTATACCCCCTATATGAAATAATGGCACTTATAACTTGGGGGTAACCAACAGCTGTCTATTTGGACCAACAGCCCACTCAGCAGGAGAGAATTCATGTCTGGTACTATAAACCTAGCCAACCACCCACATATGAAGAGGTCATACTCCCTAAAAGAGAACATACTACTGCCATTTTCTTAAATCAATATGATTTCTAACTATATTATAAAAACACCCCTTTACTCACAGAGAAGTGGAGCTCTCACCCCTCACCAAGAAAGTGTATTTTGGCCAGCAGATGGAGGCTATTACAGTGATCCACAACTGTGAAAATGCAGAACTTAAATGGCAGTGGGGATCCCAGCCCCAACTGACACATGCACAACACAACCCTAAACCTTTCATTGCAGAAGCAGGAGTGGAAAGATTGTTAAGCACCTGAGGACCAGGACACAAATGGTGAGATGTTAGTGCCTTCTGGACTTGACAGGAATGCCACATCCGTTAAATCTGAACAATATGATTGCATGGAACAGGCCTGCATAATGACCACAGCAGTCAACATGCCAAGGTGGATGGGGAAATTTCATAAGGCCCCATCTCTAGAGGAAGAGCTATCGCAATAGATGATTGCTGAGAGGGAGAGTCAGTTCTCTCCAGAGATGAGCTCTGTGATAGATTATCCACTCTCACGTGGTCAGCCCTAAATATGTGTACACATGAGCAATGCCAAATGAACTCAGCAGGGTGTGTATGCATGCATGTGTGTGTGCGTGTGTCTGTGTGACAATGAAGAAGAGATCATGAAATTGAGAGGAAGTGGGGGCATGGGAACAGAGTTAGAGGGGGACAGGGAGGGGTAGAAGTGGTGAAAAAACAGTACTTGTGCATGGAATTCTCAAAAATTAATAACTAGTAACAAACATAAAACAACTAAAGAAAGATGTGTACCTGCGTGTAGAAAGAATATGATTCAATACTAATGCTAATGGTGAAGTCATAAACTTTATCTAAATCATCAAGTTTGAAGAGGATGTCCTTGTGAAATGGAGCACTTTGGATGTCTGGAGAGAACACCTGTTCCCTTCAGCTTCTTGTTCTAATGGGTTATTTTTTCAATAGTCTGTTCACATTCTGTTTGAGAAAGGCTCTTTCACACCAAGTGTAGGGATGCAGCCCCATGAGTCAGTGTCATAATGCACAGTGCAGCATATAACAGGAGAGCCTTTACAGAGCAAGGCTAGACATACAGTGCTGCACACCATTTGCTGCCCTGAGGAAGTGCTCCTAAATGACTTCCTACCACCTCACCTGGGCCACCTGAGTGGAAATTGCACAGCATCAGGAAGGGAGACAGGGTAGAGCTGTCAGCCATGCTTCCTTTGCTCTGGTTTGCTTCCTACTGGCTTTAGAATTCTCTTGGCTAACTAGATGTGCCAGGGGTTTTTGTGTTGACTTTATACAGGCTGCTTTTCTATGAGTATCAAGTGCTGCTAGTGTTTGTACAGATCTTACTGCTGATAGCTTCACTGTAGCCCACAAAGGACTTTGATGGTGTGTTCCACTCTCTGGTATTGTTGGACATCATTATTCTGGGCACACAATGCTCTTATTCTGTGCATTTCCTGGCAAGCTCGTGCTTCATCACCTGCAAGCCATTTTCTGTTTGAAGGTTTGGGAACTTCCCATTGCTATAGACATGTGGAAATTCCCCACTCTAATGTCCACATGAATGCTACACATTCAGTGCCTAACATCGCTGGTACAGAGGGATCACTTTACATAACAAATGCAACACAGAGAAAAGATAGAAATCCTATCAAACAATCAAGTTGGCTAAAATATTAGAAGTGTTTATAGTACATCTCAGACTCAACTGTCGTGGATAAATGCATATTAACTTCTTTCTCTTGGGCTAAAAAGATGTGTTTGATGTAAGAGGTCTCTTTGATTATTATACATATATTCAGGGGAAATTCATTGTGCCATGTGTACAGCAGGAAAAAGAACAGGAATTCTGATTCTATGGACCTATAATCCTATATGTATTTTATAATTCTACTATGGGCATGCTTGCATATACATGTACCTGCCTGCACAGTGAGCATGTGTGTGTGTGTGTGTGTGTATTTGTGTTTGTGTACATAGATGGTGAGACAGACAACAGAGCCTAAATAAGGAAAACACATTATACATGATGGTGATGAGCTTGTGGAAAAACCCAGAAAGGTAGAGGAGAGAAAGCACATGCCACAACTAGAAACAAGCCAATCATGGCCCTGCAAATGAGGACATTGGCATGCAGACCTGAGCTGAGCAATGGGGTGCTGTGTACATGGAGACACTCTTACAGGACTTCAAGTGACCAGCATGGCTGGAGGAGAGACCTTACCAGTACAGTTGAGGCACTGAAAGAAATATGAGGGGCAGAAAGCAGATCCAAGCCCAGGTAGATTCCTTTGGGCTCTAGCTTCACTCTGACTGAGCCTGAAGTCATTTATGCAGAGTTTACACTATGCAAGATTTGTTCTAACAGGTCATACTGTCTTCTGTGTTGACAACAGACTGAAAGAGGTCAAGGGCAGCCCATGCTTTTATCTGAATGATAGTGTGAAACACAGCAATTGGAGTAGAACTCAGGACTGGTTGGCACATCGTGAAAGGGGCTGATGGGCTTTCCAGGAACATCAGAAGCAGAGTGGGAACATGGCATTCTTACCAGAGCCTAGTAGCACAGGCCTGCCATTCCTGCTACTCAGGAGGCTGAATCAGGAGGATCCCATTTGTGGTAGTTTGAATGAGAATGTCCCTCATAGGCTCCAAATATTTGAACACTTGTCCCCCAGTTCATGGTGCTGTTTGGGGAATTTCGTGGAACCTTTAGGAGGAGGTACATACATCACTGGGGACAGGCTTTGAAAGAATATAGCTTGCACACTTTCAGTCTAGATCACTCTACTTCCTGGGTCTGCTTGAGAATGTGAGCACTCAGCTTGCTGCTCCAGCTGTGTCCTGGATGCCTCCCTGCCATGATGGACTCTTACCCCTCTGGAACTGTAACCCTAACAAACTCTTCCTTCTATACGGTTATAAGTTGCCTTTGCCATGGTGTTTTATCAAAGCAAAAGAAAAGTAACTAATACAGCTGTTGTCACCAGAGAGTGGGCTGTTGCTGGGAAGAACCTAACCATGTGGGTTTTTGAAGGAATGTGGAAGACTTTGGAACTTTGTACTAGAAAAGTGATTGAATGTTGTAGGCAGAGACTAATAGGATATTGTAGTGAGAGCCTGGAAGAAAGTGGTGCTGAGAGTATTGTAGTTCCAGAGGGAAATAAGTACTTAAGCACAACTGGAATATTTTGTCAAAGGATCTGGCTGCCATCAGCCCACAGTCTAAGAGCTTGAGACTAAGTTGAAAAGGAATGGACTAATTTCTTTGGCGGAGGACATTTCAAGGCAACATTTAATTGGTGGCATGGCTATTAATTGCAAATTTTATGCAGATCTACAGAGAAAATGAGCAAGTGGGGCAGAAAGAAATGCAGAGTGTACAGTTTAGAGAGAACAGTAACTAATACACAGTATGGGATACCCACTAAACTAGTGTTTTCAACCTGGGGAAGGCAGGCTTGTTTTAGCTTGAATTAATCTGTGAAACCTAATAATATTGAAGCTAAGTAAGGCATGTGCTGAAGATGAGGTTCTCTTTGATAAGGAGATTGGAACCATTAAGGATAGGCCTCCAGATTTGCAATCAAACAATGAAAGTGTACCCTTGGGCCAAGACCCCAGGCAGTTGAGCTTCCTTGTGAAAGGAGTTTTCTGCTCCTAGAAAGCTGCACCAGACAAAAGCTACAAGTGTAGATGAAGTTGGCAGAGGTCCAGCCCCAGCTGGTAGCCAAACTTAGCAGTGTCATTCATATGGTGCTGACTTAAGAGGCATGAAAGATGCAAGAGTGTGTGTGTGGACCAGGGGGACCACTCATACTTCCTGCATGGTTTCAGGAAGCTGCTGAGGCCAGGCAGCATTCATTAGGGGAGTCCCTGCATCCCTGTGGAAAGAAGACCCGCTAAAGCCAAGAGGCCCTGAGAGACCATTGCGTGAGGCTGTGAAAATGATGTCTGGTTGGTAGCAGAGGCCCACCAAGATGTTGTAGATGCCAAAGCCATGAGTCGTCTGCCAAGGAGAGCTGCGTATAGAGAGTGGTACCAGCCCAAGAGAGAGAGATGTATATTGCATGGCAGATTGAGCCTTCTGAACCCTTTGGAAGTAAAGTCCCATATACCAGACACAGAATTACTGGATTTGTTGTTTGCCCTGCTGGTTTGTGGTCTTGTTTCAGTCTGGTATTTCCTCAATATGTCTCCATTCATCCCTTTGGGATAGGAATGTATACTCAGTTCCATGGTTTGTTAGAAGTATGTAATTTGCTTTTTGATTTTCCACTGAGCTATAGTTAAGAGAATTCTTTGAGTCTCAGAAGAGAATTTGAACTTTGGATAATATAAGACTGAAGGACTATGGGGACTTCTGAAGTTTTACTAAATGCATTTGGAATTATGATATGATAGTAAGCCTATGGAGGCCGGGGAGTGGAATGTGATGTCCCCATTGGCTCCAAGTATTTGGACACTTGGTTCCCAGTTTGTGGCACTGTTTGGGGAAGGTCACGACGCCTTGAGGAGATGTGGTCATGCTAGAAAAAGCACATAACTGGTGGTGAGTGTTGAGAGTTTATAGCCATATCCACTTCCAGTCTGTCTCTTTGCTTCCTGTGCCTGCTTGGTGATGCATGCTCTCAGCTTTCTGCTCCACCTGCTTCCTGCTCTTACCCCTCTGGAGCCATAAGCCCAATAAACTCTTCCTTTTATAAGTTGCCTTGGTCATGGTGTTTTATCATAGCAACAGAATAGTAACTAATATACCATATTTAAGGTCAGCCTGGAAAAGTTATCAAAATCCTTTATCAAAATAAAAGTAAAAAGAGGGAGAGTGTTGTAGTCCAGTAGTAGAGTGCTTGGTTAGCATGTGTAAGTCTCTGATTTCAACCCTCAATACCACAGAAAAAGAGCAGAGAAAAATAACTAGCACCAACTTTCCTCCTCAGAGTGCCAGTCTGAGAAACAGGAGCTGCATTAGCCTGATGGGCCAGATTAGGGGAAGAGCAGGTAGGAAGCAGTCAAAGACCAAATGTGCTTCTTACAATACAGAGCGACCACTAAACTAGTGCTTTCGACCTGTGGGAAAGGCGTGCTAGTTTTAGTTTGAATTAATCATGAACTGGTTTACTCTTGTAAACCATAATAAAAATGAATTCCTTGAAATATAAGAATGAAACTGACACAAAGCCATAAAAAGATCAAACCCTGAATCTTATTCATTCCAGCAGATTTGAATTAAACCACAAATTTCCCCAAGAAGGCAGGTGTGGTGGTGCACAACTTTAGAGCCAGTACTAGTGCCAGAGTCAGGCAGATCTCTGTGAGGCTGGTCTGGCCAGCTGGGACTACAGGAAGACCCTGTCTCAAAAATATCAAAAAAAAAAATTTAGACCCAATCATT